ATTTCTATGTATCAATAATTGGTTCTTGAGTATGGGATGTTAATAAAGAATGATACAGAGATTGGGAATAAAGATAAAAACGTCTCCTAATCTCAATATCGTAACATCTTTAATCAGGTTTGGGTTATGATATATAAAGCATAGATTTTCGATGTTGTCAAAGAAGTCTTTTGACTTGTAAAAAATTGTCCTCTTATTGAAAGGTAGTGTAAGCGAGTGCTGCGTATTATCTGTCATTAACCCATAATTTTTTTATATTTTTTCTTGAATATTATTCATTTAACAATTTTTTTCATCATTTTATATAAATAGATATACGAGCTTATATTTGATTAATAAGCTTACCAAGATGGTTAAATTAAAATTATTTTCAGTCTTAATTGTTCTTTTGCTTAGCATAAGTTGCTCCCAAGCTGCTACAATAAAATCTTACACATCAATCGGAAATTATGGTATATCTTATTTATTGATGATCATTGACACCATCTGACTTCATTACTATACAGTAACCATAATTTCTTTTGGTAATATAAATTAAGAGTATCCAAAAGGTGTCTATATCCCGAGCAATTTCACTTTTCCAGAAGGAATTGTTTTTAAATTTATGTTATATGTTGGTGGACTTGCCTGCTATATATGTAATACTACTAGTGGTCAATGGGAAGAAGGTAAGTACATAAGTACATATTTTTTTTACATATTTTGATACATTACAACTTGAAATGCTTATGATGTTATGTGATTTAGATACATCCCGTAATTTATTTTTTAATCACAAAGAAGATTTCGCCGATTACCCCTTTTCACCTGTGGGATATGTAGATTTCAGAGGCATGTAATAATTAAAATAATTTTTTATATATTTTTTTAATACTTTGAACTAAATTCTGGTCGAAATTATAATTTTGAACAGAATTAAATCAGCATTGCATTATTCATAATTAATTTTGAATATAAAATTTGAGAAATCTAACATTTTGATCAAAAACAAAGGAATATTGATGTTCGCATTTTAATCATAATTCCTTCATTTCATAACAATTTAGACAATACCATTTTTTTTAGATCAGCTATTCCAAGTGATACTTCAGTAGCGAATGTAGCTTTTATTGGCGATGCACCATCATCTAATCCAGAAAATTATCATGAAGAACTTCTTTCGGTTGAAGTAATTATCATAATTCTATTATTAAGAGCTTCAATTGTTCTTGATTAACATTTATATCATAACAAACAGAATACCACAGGACAAGGGGCATTTTCAGATATTACTCATGTTATTCTTACAAATTGGAATGGCGGAGCAGCACCAGCAATTAATTTATGTGAGTTAAAATAATTAAAGATAATATTAAAAATATTCGTTCTTTTATTTACAGCATATATTATAATTATTAGGTGGCACCACCTATCCAAATGGTTATATCATTTCGCAAAAATTTACTTCAATTTTCTTATTCTACCACCATGAGACAAAGTAGTGCACGAATTCATTTTATAATACCATACTTGATTAGTTCTATAAATGATATTTTTTTGTTCAAGAATTGCAGTAGAACTTGACATATCATTTTATAAATGCATTAGATACCACATTATTGAACTGAAAAAATATTTGTTATGGTCTTTGAAACAAAAAAAAACTATATTCTAACTATAAATTTATTAGCATTAATTGTATCTGCATGCGTAATTTTAATAGTATTATAGAAGTTTTATATAATTATCGAGTTAAATAAATTGCTAAGGGTAAAATAATTTAATACGATTATAATAAATAATTATTATAGTATAAACTTAAATTTCTACGTTGAAAAGATGAATTGTTAGAAATCTTTGTATTTCAGTACTTGCGATCTAAATGAACTTTAAAAGAAGGTCTTTATGAATTTGAATTGTCACGTTAAAGTTGATATAATAACGCGAACTAAAGTTGATTTATTATAAAGATATATTACCATATTGTAAATTGCCTAGATAAACCCAATGAAAGATCTGAATGGATCTCAACAGATTGGCTTTTCCCAATGGATGTACATGTGTACATGAACATCAACATATTAGAGTGTCCAGGGTACTGCGATATATAATTCTGCTCACGCTAAAAATACTTTTTTATATTGTAATTGATTTAGAAAATGATTTAAATCACGTGTCTCTTATTAGAACAATATAAAAAATCATTTTTACCGTGAGCAGAATTATGCACCGCAGTACCCTGGACACTATTAACCATAGCTGCCGCAACAAATTTGGACCGGCAGATCCTCGATTTTGATTGGCTAACGGCCGAGAATCTTCGA